ATATGTATAACTGAAGTGTGAAAAAAAAAAAATTCTAAACATTATGAATGTTTATATATCCTGTATTCCACTCTTCCAAAGTGCTTATCCTTTTTTACAAAATGCCTTGTTTGTGAGACACAATGCAAACCTACCCCTATTTTAGGTCTGGAAATTCTCTAGAACAGTAGAAACTGATCCAGCCTTCAAGAATCCTGTGGACCAAAAGGAAGACTTCTGATACATCCCACAAGGAGACCATATACCACCTAATTACTCATCAACAATATCACTAATATCACCCTTCCCTCTTTTCTTGCACTCTCCACATATTTAGTGGATTTCCATTTGAACTGGTGAACTAAAGTTCCTCAATTTTTTTTTATCCCTCCTCCAGTTTTCTTTTCTAAGGGGGTTTTCCACTTTGGATACTGTAGTTCTTTTCCAACAACTGTAGCTGCCTCATTCCAAATCTAGGAAAAAGCAGATGTCAGGACATTATTTCTTGAATGAGAAGCAATTGTTTAAGTGCTCTCTCCCCTTTGAATGGGAGCTGAAAACTTGACCCATTTAGACAGGCAGAGTTACAATCACACACAAATTAAAAACAAAGATACTTTGTTTTTTCAATTATCTGAATGCTAAGAACCAATCCATAATCCCTAAGGTGTTGTAATAAATGTCATTGCAGATAAAATTATCTGCATCTAAAAGCATGAAAGAGGGCAGTCAGACATTTCATTGTCAACGTGGAAAAAATAAAGGTTGAATAAACTAGTTTCATAGTTGTCTTCCAAGCCCTTGGCTCAGAAGCGAGGTTGGAAACAGATTTCTGCCTCTTGCTGCCAGTGGAGATAATTGCTACAGCAGGCTCTAACTGCTTCAAGTATTTTTATTTTCTTTTTGGTGGAATTAACTTTTTTTTTTTTTTAGGAAATTTTAACACAGAAATTTCAACTAGGCACATTGTCAATTACTCCCATCCTCTGTTAGAGACCGACTAAATCCCAGAGGGTAGAAATGACATACTTCCTGAAGGAAAACCTGCAAACAAGCATCTCACCTGGCTATTCTAATGATATTTGCTCTTTCTGGATACAAAACCCTTGACAGACGTGATTGCTTGGAATTGACAGCTTTCTCTTAATTTGATAGAAGCTCCACAAAACACAGGTAGGACATCCTGCAATAACTGTAGCATGATTCAAACCAGTTTTGTGACTTTATTAGCTGTGCATGGTGCATTGCATAAGTGTGCTTCAGGGTTAATCATCATTATCATGACAGAAATATGCAGACAATAAATAATGCAAAGTGTGTTTTCTAGAATTAATATAGAGAAGCCCTTCCATGTTAACCTTCCAACAAGAATTCCCATTTCTGGGGAACAATCATTAAAGACCATGTGCTCAACAGATTCCTCAGCTATCATGTATCACCTTGCATTGATCTCTGAGCAAGCTGCCTTTACAGCAATAGTTAACAGAGGTGATACCTGCCCAGGGGGACTGCACCATCACCCAGGTAGCCTAGAAAATGGCACCTTCTAGGCACAAAGTTTATGGTACCAACAGGCCAAACTTGTTCAGCTAGAACCTCTAATTGTCGCTGGCTGCATGTGTTGACAGGGTTGCTGCTGCTGCTCGTGCTCTGGCTCTGTTGATTCTTCTTTCCATGCCAAAGCTGGAGTTGCTGCCTCTGGATCCCAAGACATGGAGAGGCAAAAGTGTAACAATATGTCTTAGGGTTCTTCGTTCCTGGGCAGGGATTATGGAAGACTACTCCACTACAAATCCTGCAGAAGAATGGTTCCTTAGATGTGGTTATGCCTGACCTTGGAAAAGGGGTGAAATTTCTCAACACAGAACCAAGCAATTTCCGTACCAAGAATCAAGGTTTGTTTAAATCAAGCAGTAACTACCCAGCAGATGCAACAACACAGAGCACCTTGGCATAGAACGGCTGTCCTTGTCACACTTTTGTCTTCAATAGCTCTGTAGCAATCCTCAGGGCGCTCCTCCTAGTGTGCTATTGCCAAGGCCAAAGGAAGAAGGTGTGATTTTTTTTTCCCACTTCTCTAGGCAGAGCTATGTTTTCCTCAGCCATAGGCCACAGGCTATCACAGAAGTTCAGGCTGTTAACTCAGAAGCTTTAAAAGGCAGAGAAAATATAATCAAGCTGGAGACACCTGAGACTAGAGAGAAAGTGTGTCATGCAGCGAGTGGACAAAAGTCCCTGCCTGTAGTGCTACCCCACCTACTGAAGCATTGATAACACATTTTTAAGTGTCACCTGACAGACAGTAATCCTGCATTTTCCTAGAGTATCTGGTAACTGTGGATCCAAAATAATTTCTCTTATTGTCACAGCAAAGAAAAAAACAGTTAAGTTATTTTGTTTATTTTGTTGAAATGTTTATTTTACAAAGCCTATGGCTTTGAACAGCTGCTTAGCAAACTATGCAGTCCACACTGGTGTCTTTGGAAGATCAACTGCCCTGAAGAAAGTTACCAGAGAAGAGGTACCTGCTTGGCTCCTTCCTGAAATGAAGGAACCATGAACAGCAGATTCCAAGCAGATGCACATAGGTCCTGGGTATGAATTCCGAATTAATAAAATAATAATGAAGCTTGTATCTCAGCTGCTGTTTTTTTGTCTCCCTTCTCAATCTTGTTCAGAGGATTTAATCAAGTTAATTTTTCTTGGCACTCTGTTCTCCATGTTTTGAAGTATTAGGGGACAGAAAGATTTCTGCTACCACAGGAATATGATCTCACATGGAAAAGAAATACAGCATGCCATAAAATACCATGGATTGATTTTGAATCACCATAACCATTATTATTAGGCTAATGCAGCCATCCCAGTCAAATTTGGGACAATCATTTTTGGGGAGAGACTATTTAAAATTTCAGGCAATGGCCATGAAACCAATAAGTCTTTTGTGGGAGCTGACTGATATATCATCCAGCAGTCAGACATTATGCTGTCACAAATTAAATGCTCTTCCTTTTCAAGTTTTATCTTCTTGTTTAGCTGTCACAGTGATCCTTCCATGAGTTTTCTTGCCAAGAGCAGAAGGAAAGTAATCAGTCAAGATCATTGTTATGCTGGAAGTAAGCCACCTTTTATCTTAAGATATTTATTATCTCAGTTGAAGATCCAAACACCCACTCCAAGCAACCTCCTGAACACAGGGGAAGGATGTGTGCTGTTTGACCTCCTGGATACAACTCCGTATCTGTCATGCCATCATAGGAGATGGGCGAGATAAACACCACCACAGGATAGGCTGTTATCCTCCAGGTACATGATGTAATTTACCAGTGATCACAATGTTTAATGTGGTAGCAGCACATTTATATAAAAGCCATTATTTGTGTACTCCTACTAGGACAGCTAGCAAGCAGAGATTTTCTCCTGAAGCTCTGTATGACATATTATGCATGCTCAGGCTAGTACAGAAATTGGTCTCTAAGACATATGAATATACTCATAACTAGTTTTTGCATATACTCAGTGAGTGCAGTGAAGTGGTGCAAAGATAATTAAGATACTGGAGCACCTGCCATACAAGGAGGGGTTGAAATTTCTGAGACTGCTTAGTCTTGAGAAAACGTTGAGCCCCAATGTGCATAAATACCTAAAAGGAAGGTGTGAAACTCAGACTCTTACTGGTATCCTCTGAAAGGACATGAAATAAAGTACATTCAATTTAGACATAATTTTCATTTATCTATTTTTAAAGAGAGCATGAATAAACACTAGAAGAGGTTACCCAGAGAGGTTGTAGAGTTTCTAACCTTAGAGATATACAAAACTTAACTGAGCACAGATCCTTTCCACTGATTGTGTGAAGTAGGAAAATTCCATGGAGATGTATTTATCTGGCACAGATTATCAGATAAAATCCTCCTAGGGCTGTGACAAACATGAACCTGCTGAAAATCCCCAAATCCTACTGCCATACCCACTGCTTTTATTTTCCTCAGCAGAAGGTGTTCACAAAGACACTAAAAATGAAAAGCTACTTGCTCTCAAGCTGGAGTTTGATACTCAGTGTTCATATGCAGAGCTCACTTTTCCCCTTTGCTCCAGAGCTCTGCATATTTAGTACTTCATAGCCAGGAGGGAAAAGCATGTTCTGTTAGTATAAAAATGTGAGGAGGCTGAAGACACAGATACAGCACATAGTTATAAGTGGTAGAATTTGTGAACACTGCAATGTGTGTAAGGTCTGCACACTGAGACAATCTCTTTTTTACTTGGTTAACTTCTGTTTCCTGAGGTGTACTGTAAAATGAGTAAATATTTTGAGGAAGAAAAGCAGAAGAACTGAAAGGAGATTGAAACAAATCTCTTCTTCATCAGTCCAAATTCTAGTTCTCAGCAATCCATTGTAAAGGTAAGGTGATTTTTAACACACCTGTTCTACTCAGTGTTGCTTGCTCATCAGTAGTAAAGTAGTTCTATGTGAACCTTTCTCTGCTAATAAACCTTACTATTTGTAAGACAAGGGAAATTAAGGTAGTTTCGAGGCCATCACTGAAAGAAAAAAGACTCCCCATTAAAAAAGTCCCCCTGTTCTCCATACTGTTTCAAGAGCTATAGCAATTGATAGCAGAGAACTGTGAGATGAAGTGGACTTAGCATGTACAAAAGTGATGTACACATAAGCTTCCTTTTTCTTGTTTTGGATTACAAAAGGTCAAGGTAGCTTTCTAAGCACCCATTGTCAAAAAGGCAACGCCTCCTCAGCATATGCTGAAAATAAATGGACAGTCCTAAGAGTAAAGGAAAAGTAAAACAAGCCTCTGTAGACACAAGGCAACCTGTCACCCAACTCAGAGAAGCAAAACATTATGCTGTTACCCAAAGGATGGCTCTAATGATACCATTCCATGCTGTCAACATCATTCCTTTCTGAAATAATCCCAAGAGAAACCCCAATTATACAACACAACAACCTAGGTTTTAGTAGTTCGCTGTCTCTTTTGATGAGACATTGAATAGCCCACCTAGACTGGCAGTCTCATGCTTTATAAATACAAATTTATACTTAGGAGATGACAATTTAAAATAGTTCTTAAAATACTGTACTTAAAAGATACAAAGACTTCTGTTACAAAGTTGCAGTCATAGTATTACCTTTTAAAATACATTAGGCACAAAATAGATTAGCTGCACAAATGCTTAGTTTACATATCCTTCCCTGTCCCTGCCGCAACATCCACTGCCACCTGTGAGTTCAGAGATCACACCTCCAAAAAATAATAAATGTAATTTTTTTTTCACCAACACAGTGTATATTTTTTATCTTACAAAAATGTCATTTGTATTAGTTAGAATCTGTTCTTTGAGGAAATTCTTGAATTCTTCAGCTTATCTGGGAATGATAATGGCACCAGCAGTACAGCCCATCCTCATGGCTCACTGAATGGCAGCCAGAAGTTAGATTGACTACAGGCTTTTCTGGATACTTGCTAAATACATGTGGTTTCTTGGTCTTTTCTTCCCCCCAAAGTTGCCAGTTATTGGTTTGTGATGCAGGATCCCATTTAAGGCATTATAAACCAAAGAAACTAAATTCAATTAATGTATTTTCATAATGAGGGGAAAAGAAAACAACTTGCTGGACCAAAAACAATAGTTCAGATGAAAGCTGTTGATTAAGAGCCAGTTAAAAAGCAACTCTTAAAAGTCTTGTTACTATTGAGAAATGAGGCACCCAAACCTGCTAGTGAAGTGAACTTTTCCCACCACCACCTTTAACTAACTTCAACACCCACTTTAGAGCTGATGGTCTCTTGAATTTTGTGCTTTTTCACTCCTTCTTTGGTCGACCTTTGAAGGTATTCATGATCTCAACGAGTCCAAAGTAGTCTAAAAGAAGAACCAGTACTTTCACTGGTAGGAAGCTGTAAGGTAGGGACATGGAAGAAGAAGACAAAAAGAAACAAAGAGAGATCAGAAGAGTTGTGCAGTTTTATCACAGAATTGGTTTAACCTGGCTAATACTGGCAAAGGCAGTATACTCTTTAGAATATAGACCCACTGGTCCTCTCAAAAGATCCTTTATACTCATTTGGCAGCCTGAGTTATAGTTAGATCAGTATTCCAACCTGACCTGCAACAGTCAAAAGTGGCCAAATGCTAGAGCAAGACACCAGATGGGTTTACAGTTGAACTCGGTGATCTCAGAGGTCTTTTCCAACCAATAATTCTCTGACATGCAGTTATGGAGAAGCAGGTGGTCTCTACAGCCCCCAGTAAAACTGCACCCCAGTGGAGTCAGCAAGGCACAGTTAGACATTTCTGCCATTGTTCTATGGCCCAAGGGTAGACTGAACCCATAGAAACAAACAAACAAACCCCTTCCAAGAATGTGCATAACTTAATGAAAATTCAAACCAGCAAGTGGAAGTCTCTTTTGTACTTTAAGCATCCCCAGACAGAAAAGAGAGAGGGGGAAAGAAACATAACTTACCTTTTCAAAAAACATAAAAGATGAGTAAGGCGTGGTATAAGCAAGACTTCTTGGTTCTGCCGAACAGCAGTGATTATCCTCTCGGCCACATACTCTGGATCCAGAACAGGAACCATACGTGGCCACCTGAAAAAGAGAATATTTATTGCTACAATACAAATTGCTTTGGATTCATATTTTCTTCAAAAAAGTATTAATTTTACAATTACTCAAAAAATAAATAAATACCACAAGTCCTATGAACAACAGAATCTTCATTATGTTAGGGTGGACATTGTTATTTTCCCCCATATGACCTCTCATAAGAGAAAACCAGAGACCTCATATTAAGACACACCAGACTTTTATTTGGCTCCTAAACTTTGTCATTATACATGCATACTGAGCAAAGCTATGCCATCAATTTCAGGAGGAGAATGGAGGTTTAGAAACCAGAGAGAACTAATGGAGCATTTGGCTTCTGCAAAGGAAAGGACACCAATTATGTTTCACATTTCAGCTTAAATGAATACTAAAGCACCTAGGCCTTTTGAGTTGCCCAGTCACTGGACAGCACTGTTAACATCCATCTGAAGCCTTAAACATAATACAAGCAGAAAAAAGCCTGACTCATGATTTTCATAAAGGAAATAGGGATTTATAACATGCTAAAAATGCAACTTTCATAAAAAACTCACAAGAATTTACTCACTTGGATTTAACACCATCAAACATTCCCGTGTTTATGACGTAAGGACACACAATTGTTGTTTTAACACCAGTCTTTCTCAGAGCTCTCATTTCCATATCAATTGATTCTGCAAAACCAATTGCTGCAAATTTACTTGCACAGTAATCTGTAAAATAAAACATTAATTATAGTTAAATATTTAAATTTACAAATTAAACTTTACTGTCCAATACTAAACCACTTCAAATCAAAATAGGAGTGGTTTTCAGGATTAGGTTAAAATTTGCTTTTCATCTGATTCATTCCTTTTCTTTCCTCTCCTAAGTCAACTGTTGTTCTAGACTGGCAGACAGTTTCTCATGACATCCCTGCTACCACTTTTCCACTCTAACAAACTATGGTAAATGAAATTATTTTTTTCATACCATTTTTTCTTTAAATCCATGCACTCACTATGCATCCAACTCCTGTTTTCAAGACTCTCTAATGTGCTTTCAACTTGAAATTCAGTTTGTACTTATGATCACCCTCTTGGAGCTAGATTTCTCTTACTGCTATGTCACCTTATTTCATATTCTGCCTTCTTTGTATACATATTCCAGAAATGCCTTCTGAGCTTCCTCTAATCTAAAGTGACCTCTTCCCTATCAGAAACATGCAAGTAAATTTTAACAATATTGAGGTTCTCAGCTTCCAAAGTTCTATATGGCTTCTAGATCCTTCTGCTTGGCAGAAAAACCTGTTTCATAGCACTGCTGAGCTTCTGGAAAATGCTTTGTAAAGAAATGGTCTGTTTAAGGTCAGCTGTCTTGAAAGACTGTCTACTTGCTTTAACTATACAGAAAGATCCAGAAATTCAAAATAAGTTAGGTTTCTTTTCCCTCATGGATATTGATTGCAGAGTTTAAAATCACACTAATCACTTCAATTAATATCAGCTTGAATACACTACCTGAAGCCTGACTGGTTCCACACAGTCCTGCACCACTTGCTATGCTAACCAAGTGTCCATGGTTAGCAGCAATCATTGCTGGGAGGAAGGCTTTGTAAGTCTGCAAAGGAAATCAGAGTTGCCATGTAACATTTTACCAAGTAAGTACACGCCATAATATTTTGAAGGTGGTTTTAAAGAAATTCTCCCAACAGTTTAAATAAGCTTTCCCCCTTCTATTATGGAAAGGATGTGTGTGTGTATGTGGAGCTTGAACCACATGTTATTTGAACTCTAACCTTCAACTATTTAAATGGGGAGTTCCCACCTCAGGAGCACTACCAAAGACATATGGTAACTTGATGAAAGCTAAATATATGGCTTAATCTAGTAATGAAGTTTCTTTCAAATGAGAATTAAGTGTTCACTGCAAATTTTGGGAAACAGCAAAGATTTTAATTTCATGTTTTCCTTCTATTAAATTAATTAAATCATTGAGATGAAATTTATTTCTAAATAAACTTAAACATGACTGAATATTCTCTTTATAATTCTTTATGACAGAAGCACCATATAGGTGACCTGCCTTCACTAAAAGGAAGAAAAAGCACAGAGGTTAGTCATTCTGGACAAAAGCTTCACTTATTGTCAAGAGGATTATCAGAACCTGTGGTGTTTCTTACTGAAATTATCACAGAACAACCAAAACACTAACAGAACAGAAGAACTGAAGTAGAATTGAACACTTCTCTGTTACTAGGGGCAGCAACTATTAACATGGGCCTGCTTCATGTCAGTTAATAATGAGACTGTAACTCACGACTAGCCTCAGAATTTAGCAGACAGTAGACTTCAATTCTTAAGAGAATTTCTAAATGTGAAGTGCTTCCACCTGCCTACACTAGAGATTCCCAAAGAATCCATTCTTCAATGCTTTTAAAAAAAAATTTACAGACTCCAGAGCAAATAAATAATCATGCTTTCAAAAAAAAAAATTTACAGACTCCAGAGCAAATAAATAATTTCTTGTATAATTTCTAACTGAACTTCCAAAGAGCTTTATGTCCTTGCATGTTTTCCTCAATTCAAAAGGCAAAATTAACATTGAAAACATGTTAAAAGGATGTCTTAGTATGTATAGGCTAATACAGGTTTTACCCAGAAGTGTGCCATTGTGTTCACTTCCATGGTTTTTTCTACGAGTGCATCTGGAGAATCAAGAAATCTCTTCCCAATTACAATACCAGCATTGTTGATCAAGATGCTGACATCACCAACTTCTTTTTTAACCTAAAACAAAAAGCATCAAGAGAGTGTGCAATAAATACAAAACATTCTTTCCAAGCATTATTTATGAAAACTTAACAAACAGAAATATTACACATTTAAATAAGTTGAACTTATGCTTTTTATGGATCCAAACACATCAGGTTCTTGCAGTCTCACCTGACGCCTTTTTAAAGGTGAGCTCTCAAATAGATTTTCTTCAGATTTGTGGAACCCAACAGCTCCACACAAGCTTCTGCTTTCAGCACCTCTGTTTCCAAGGACAAATGATCCAGGTAAGTCTTTAATGCAGAAGGCTTAACTAATACAACAAGTATTTTTCTATTATGTCTAGGTAAACACATCTTAAAACTAAAGAGCAATTCTGGACTAGAATCTGGTACACTCTCCCCCAGAAATTAAGTTGGCTAAAAAATAATACATACACATTAAACTCAGTAAGAGGAGGTATAGTTTTCATTTTTGCTCCAGACTGAGAACATTCATGAAGAGACCCATTTGAGAGAACAAGTGTAGGCCAGCTGATTGCAAGGTATTATCTCAGCTTGCCAAAGGAGAATGAAAATATTTAATATAGAATTTGAGATACAGGTCATTGATCTGAACTATCTGGGAAAAATGAAATGAGTAACACAGTGAAGAATTAAAGAATAATTTTTCACCTATCCTTTATTCTAGCTTAACTTCCTCGTATTCCTTAAACTTGCTCTAACCATGTCTATTTTTTTAAACTAAGCTTTAGGAGTTGGGTACTTCTGGAACAGAGACATTAGAAATAAATTTTAAGCTATAGGTTTTAATAGCCAAAAGGCTGTCCTTCATCGTGTTGGTACAGGAAAGAAACAATGACCTGATACAAGCAGAGCCTTTGAGTTTTCCTACATAAGTAATTTTTTCTTGCTGTCTATGTGTGGCTGATAAAGCACATATTAAAGATCCACATACATTTCATTTTGGCTTTAAAACTGTTTTATCAGAAGCAAAGTTTTCAAACATATCCTGCCCTACCAGCAAAAATTTAGTTCGCCATAGTCTTGCAAAACTCCAAGCCTGCATAAAGCTGAATCACCAGAAGAGGAAAAAGGACCTGGAACCATGCTATCACATCTTCCAAAGATATGAACACTAAGAGCCAAAGTCTACTATGCTGCATGAATTCAGCAGTGGCACCAAGCACCATCTAATACTAAAGTCTTTTTGTAGCTGGTGAGATTGGATGATTCTACATCATCAGCAGGACATGACATTTCTGAAATAATGGTAGTAAGGTGTTTTCTTCTATGCAGATCACCATGAGGATTATTAGTGAATTTGACAGTTGCTGAACTGCTGACAGAAGGTTTTAAATGAGGGACCCCACACTGGACCCTACTTCAAATTCTTTGTTCCTGAAAGCTCTGTTTGCATCATCCTGAACCCATGTCACACAGATCTACATCCTGTTCTCTTTTTCAGCAGCATGAAATTTCACCAGCATGGCTCAGCCACTGCTTTTCTCCACAGGCCCAGAGTGCTAGCCCTTGATTCAAATCCTCAAACCTAAAGGTTACTTTTCATCTGCTTCATTGCACTATCCTTCACACTACAATATTCCTCCTCCAGCTCTCCCAGTTCAGCAGGAAGCACCGCTACAAGCCTATGGAGAGACATGCAACTTCTCTGCAAGGACAGCAGATGTCCAGCTCAGTTGGTGTAACAGCTGCAAGGGGGACCAAGGCTGATCAGCATTACTGGAATACAAAACCAATAGCACCAGCCTCCAACACACACAAGTTTCACATATCAGAAAGCCTATCATAGTCATTTTTGCACAGATAGAAAAAGACAGAAGGCTAGAGCTTATTAAAAAGCACCAAAACATTATTTCAACCAAAAGATGTTCCTGAAGACAGCTGAACTTATTGTTAAAAAAATCATCCCCACGCAAGACTCGCTGTGAAAATCTCTTAGTTCAACAGTTAAGTTTAGCAAATTTTAAGTGAATGAGAACAAGTTCTTAGACTTGAAACTGTTTGACAATTCTAGCTTTTGGCAATACTGGTAGTCTGCCCAAATTATCTAACCACATGCTATGTTTACAAAACTTTTCAGAAATGAAAGAAAGAAATATTTAAGACATCAAGATACATTTATTAATTCAGATAAAATAAGTCTGCCAAAATCTCTTCACAGCAATGGAATTATTTGGAAATTGCCTAAGCAGTTAATCCTTTTTACAATGTATGGTCTTTTGGTAAAAGGCTGCCAGAACTTGAAATACTGCTTTAGCTTCAATAAATTGATTTTCCGCACTTCACGATTAAGTGCCTGCTCGGTCATTGAATGAATGAAAAAGAAGCTACCCAGTTAAAATGAGCTACTGAAAAAAAGAGCCAGCTCTTTTTATTTTTTAAGGAATAGAGACACACAACTCAACTCTAAAAACCAGAATTCTTGAAATAGATAGGAAGTACAATACATTCAGAATGAATTGACTTTTAATCTCTTGCTTTGAATCCACTAGAAAACTTACTCATGCATCTTACACCCACACTTGCACTCATCTTGGAATAATGTCAAATAAACAAATAATACACTTTACCTGGTCAGCTAGTCTGTAGACATCCTGTCTTTTGCTACAGTCACAGACATAGGAGTGTACTCTTCCTGCTCCTTTTTCTCTGGCCAGTCTAACTGTGCAGTTGAGCCCCTCTTGATTAATATCCCAGAGGACCACCGTGGCTCCAAGGCTGGCAAACTTCAACGCTAAGAGTCTTCCAATGCCACTTCCCGCTCCTGTTATTAATACGATTTCACCACTAACATTCTTCTTCCGTCCAGGAACAACCAAGAACACCAATGACTCCAGCAAGTAGTAAACAACAAGTACAATAACTTTTAATGTTTCCAGGAAGAAGTTCATCTTCAGGCTATTTCTTCAGATACCTGATAAAAAAACCCAAAACATTTACCAGATAGGGTAAACCACGGAGAAAATGCAAACATCAACATTGCAAAAATATTTTCAGATCCATTCTAAATATCTTCTCTACCCTGCTTTTGAGTATTGTTTCAAAGAAATATATAGGCTTACACTTGCATATCTAATCCATTTGGCCTGTTTCTATCTTGTCTTCAGGTTGCTTCCACTTTCCTCCAGGATGCAGTATACAATTCATTTACCATTCAGCAGTAACAGGAAACACCTGCTCTCATCTGCTTTAGAAATTCCCCATCCCTCATGCCATGGGTTTCATTCTCTGCTCTGACAGAATGTGGACAAAAATCTAAAATAAATACATATTACTACTAATAATAAAAATCTGCCCATTGAGCATCTCAAACAGAAATGCATGACAATTACAAATCAAAACTTATGGTTTGATCAAAGAACTTCAGTGCTCACAAACTAGTCCTATATGACAGAAAAAAATCTGCTTTTAGGACCACAATCTTTTTTGCTTTGTAGGCACTCCCTGTCACTATGAAATCACATGCAGAACAAATCACAGTCCCAATTGTGTTGAAAAAACATTAAGCATAAGGAGCTTCAGAAGGCAATATGCTTATAAATCTCCAAAGCACACTAGGTAAATACCTGTTTGTCACTACTGACTTTTCAGCTACCTGTACTACCATTATTGAGGGCAGCCTGCTTTTGCATTTGAACACAGTTCTTTGAGAATGCACTGCAAAGCTGTTGAGTTTCTTCTCTTCACCTCCCTGCATTAAGCAAATGTCATAGGCTTGAATCATACCACCTCAGGTACCTGTTTAACCTTGCAATCCCTACACATGCCAGTAATGCCGACACCAAACAAGCCTTTAAGTCCTTGGAGGAATGTTATTTCATTTTCCAGTATACAAAAGCTGTGCAAGAAATTAATCCTGGTTAAAACAGGTTTTAATCTTTGACTAACGACATTATGAAGCAATAACATCTTCTTTCTCAGGTAAAAGGTAGAGCACGCTGGCACCTACACTTCAACCTTTAGCACTTTTGGACATTTAGCACCTTTAGCAACCTTTAGACATATCAGCCTGATTACAACTCTTAGTTAACTTTGCTATCTATGTGTATAGGTAATCGTGTTTGACAAGTGCCAGCAGATAAGTAACCCAGGTCTCTGCTACTCTGAGCAAAGTTCATGAAATTTGGCATGTGAACATACACGTGTTACCACGAATCTCAGGTTTTCTACATGGGAAAGCAGGCCAGCCTTGAAAAGAAACAGGCCTCTGCTAGAGCAGAGCTAGTTATTTAGACAGTTTTCTGGCAGAAACATTGGGACATCTTAAAACTGTTCTGATAACAGAAAAAACATTTGCCACAGACATAGTGGGTACGATGAGAAGTTCTTTCTGGCAAAGTCATGGGGTGAATTCTTTCTGTTGAGTACTTTCTATTCCTCATTCTCATTAAAATGTGACAAAATGCGTGCAGAGGCAGTAACTCCAGTAAGAAGTGAAACTAATATTGAAACAGCACTGAAACATTTTTCTAGAGCAAATATTAGCATTTCCTGTAATAGGCTCTCTTAGGTATACAAGTATTACAGTTCTAAGTGAAAACAGAGTTATAAAGGAAAAATGTTATTAAATTTCATGCACATAAAAAGTGCAAATTTTTGGAAGCCTGAGTTCTTTGCTGAGTCTAAAATAGAAGAAACAAGTCTTTAAAATAAATGCAGCTTCTGAATTTAACTTGATTGCACTAATTTAGTGCACTTAACATAAAATCCTCCACTTGCATGAAAGGAGAGTGGTACCTCTGGCATAGATAAAGATGTTAAAGTTAATCCCTACAGAAAACCAAGTGAGGCAATTGCCTTCAGAGGCAATACACAATCTGAACTCAGTTTAAAACTTATGACAGTAATTCTTTAAGTAAGAAATAGGCTTGTACAGGTCAGAGGCACATTAGATCTTTCAGAAAAGTATACCTATCAATTAATGAAGTAGAATTGTTTATGCATACAGACCACAGGAGGCCCCCTATTAGAAGACCAACTCTGCATCCTTCAACAAGATGCTTAATTCCCACAGACACATCTCTCCCCTAACCCAGATTTAACTGGGCCTCCAATGTCACTCAATGCATCAATATTGCTAATTAAACCAGCTACTGTAACCAAGCATATCCATACAGACAATTAAATTTGCCACTCACCTGGCCGATTTTGCCTTGTCAACTAAAGTGAGCAGGGGTGCATTTACAAGTGAATTAACTAAGGGGGTCTTTGGCACATATAAAATCTCAGACCACTTCTGATACCTTGTATTGTTTTTTAGTATGCCTATGTCCACACAGACATAAGTGTGGAGGGCTTCTATGCAGTAGAGAATATCAGACATTCTACGATGTTTTATGGTCCTCCCAGGCCCCCAGCTGGGTAACAATTACCACTGACTCCACGAGTCTCAGAAGGCTGATCAATCTCTTTATTATAATATATAATCATTAAGAAACCCATTGCTTTCATAGACACTTATGATACACCTGGATCTAATTGGTCCACCAATCCAAAATCCATCACCATTGGCTAATTAAGAAACCACCCTTTGATAAACAAATCTCCACAACGCAGTCCTTATATTCACAACAACACAAGTGTAGCAAGTGAAGATAAAAATTGTTTCTCATTCTTTTCTCTGATCTTCTCACAGACTTTTCCCCAGGCCAATGCCTGGGAAAGCTGTTTCTCTCTGTGGCCAGAGAGCTGCTGCCACATTTTATCAGACAGATTTCAAGTGCAGATAACTTGGCCAGCAAAGTCTTATTGGTACATGCCAGCCCTCATCACTGACAGGCCCTTGCAGACCGGACAGGTTTTGAAGACCATCGCTGCTCACAAATCACAGGAGCAGGACTGAGGCTGGCAGCTGAACGGCACACCACCCTTGCTAGTCGAAGGACTAAAGGCTGATCACGCAATCACCGAGCAGCGTTTGACAAGGATGATTTTTTTCACTGTACTGGGAGAGCTGCGATCCCACAAAAGTTCAGCAGTCCTGTAGCTAAGGCTGCCCAAGTGCAGCACTAAATTCCTCAGCCCCCGGGGGATGCTGGATAACCTCACTCTCACTTAGCACAGCGCGTCTACCAACCCAACCAGCACCGTAAGAAACTCCACAAGCAGCGTTCAGCTGCAGCGACCAGCTCACCACCCTCCCCAGGCCGCACCGCTGCCCCCGGCCCTCGGTCCTGCCGCCGAGTGCCCGCACACGCTGTCCTGTCCCGTCCCCCAGCCCACAACGCCCCAGCACCGGGAGTACCTTCGCCTGCCGACCTGAGGCACAGCCAGAGCACTTCCGCCGCAGCGCAGCGGCTCTGGGGCGGACGGGCGGCAGCGGTGCGAAGGGAGCAGGCAGCACGGCGGGGCGGAGCCAGGCAGCCCTGCCTTTATCGGGCCGCCCTGCCTTCATGAGGCAGCCCTGCCTTTATCAGGCAGCCCGCCCCGGCGCGGGGCTGAGCGGATGCCCGGGGTCGGGCGGGTGTGCGCTCCGCAGCGGCAGAGCGCCGGGTTGTCCGCGGCCCCGCCCGGGCTGCCGGCATGGGATCTAGCCGGGTAGGGGGAGCGGGCCCGGGGGAGCGGTGGGTCCTCCCCGGGCGGCCATGAGGACGCTTAGCCTCCGTGGGCTCTTTTGCTGAGACCGGAGCAGGGTCGAAAGCTCAAAGGATGGAGTAGTTTGTTGGGTGGAGGCCGTCGGGACAACGCCCGAACTCCCACGCACTTTCTCTGGGGTTGGTGGTTGTTTTTTGTTGGGGTTGTGGTTTTGTTTTTTGTTTGTTTTTAAAAAAAGTATACACGTGAGGTGATTCTCACTCCGTGCTGACACCTGCACCTAAAGGCGAGGTTGCTGTAAAGAGATCACCTGGCCTGTGTGAAGCCATGCTGCCTGGCAGTGGCTGCAGCGGGGTGAGCGTGCACCTTTCAGGGTGGTGTCCTTTAGAGGAAGTGAATGATACTTCCGTTTAAAAAATAAGTTTTGGCTCTACCCAAATTAGAGTATTTGGTTTGCTAATTCAGTGAAATGCTCTTCGTTTACTGCTATATATTCACTTAAGTCCCTTAGGGAGGCATTGTTTTGGAGGGCTTTTTCAATCATATGCTCATACTTAGGTAGTAGAACTCTCAACTGTAAGTTGCTGAACATTCACAACTTCAAGGAAATTTTGTATGATGAGAGAATGCTTAGTATCACCAGAAAACGTATGACTGAAGGCATTTGCTTGGCAAATCATTATCATGATTGTTAATATGCCTAATTTACAGTATTACTGTATTAAAGCAGTACATTTGGGAGGCTAATGATAGTCAAACAGTGACACTGGCTGCTGCTTTTTTTTAGAAAATTTTCTTTTTAAAGTGGCTCACTGAAAACAAGGTGTAAAAAAAACCACCCTAGTTATTTAATTTTAGAAAGGTTTAAATATGAGCTTTGCATCAATACCTGGCAGTTAATAGTATTTAACATTGAGAGTGACCTTATGATTGGAGTTGGAGGCTAGAAGGTGGGAGACACATCCCCTTTCCCCACCATGTATGAAGATTTTGGGCATGTAAGAAACTTGTTGAATAAAACTTGCTGAAACAAAATTCACCAGACAGCTTCACTTTATTAGTCTATCTTATGAAAGACTAAAACTAGTTTGTAGAGAAACTATTTTTAAGGCTGTCAGATTAGCATATTTTAGAGTCTTGTGTCTGAGAATACACAAATGGAATCATTACTCTTGATTCTAGTCTAGAAATGGTACCATGCTAATTTGTATCAGATGAGGATGTCTCCCTCTTGCCACATGTTACTTTTGGACTGATTTTTGAGTGCTGAAATTCCAGGAGTGCAGAATTGGGTCTGGTGTTTTTGTGTAACATCCCACTGGATGTCTTCAAAGGAACCCAAGGTCATTCAAGTCCTAAGAACATGTCTGAGGCACTTTGTAAGTGCTGTCACTTCTGCTTGTCTATAGTACTTATGCTGTGTAAGTGTACTGCTAGTCTAGTAGCATTTTTTACTGAGGGCTGTATTGTATTTCGGCCAACCTTAACTTCAAGAAAGCACTTGGCATCTGTTGTTGGGTAGATATTGGCATCTCTGCAGGAACAGTGTACCCAGCAGCACACTAGAGTGCTGTTTACACTTCATGTGAATTTATGGCACATCTTTTATTACATTCACCTGACTTCACCACCACTTAATGTTGCTTATAGATGTGTCACAAGAAGCATGGATAAAGCAAACAGAGTTAAGGTTGGTCTAAGCTGGATAAATGCAATTGCATGGTGATTAGAATATTCATCCTCACTTTAGAGTAAAAAGACAAGAATATCCTGTCATGCTGTTGGAGCCATAGTCTCTTAAAAGCTCTCATATTATTTTTTTTTCTATCAGAACATACAAAATGCAATAAATATTTTGATATTAAAGCATCAGTTATCCCCCATGTACCTCAGCTATTGAAGTGGAATAGTGTAATATGCTTGTAAACAGTCTGATCTTTCTGCTTTCTTTGAATGCTTACTGTAGAATTCTAAAATTACCTCATTGTGCTTTTCAACATCTTCACAAGGGGAAGTAGAGGGGCAGGGACTGATCTCTTCACTCTCATCAGGATTCAAGGAAACAGCATGAATCTGAGTCAGAATAGTTTTAGGTTGGATCTCAGGAAAAGATTTTTTCCCAGATGGCAGCTGAACACTGGAACAGGCTCCCCAGGGAAGTGGTCACAGCACCAAGCTCAAGAAGCTTGGTGCAGTCATATTCAGACAATGCTGTCAGGCACATGGTGTGACTCTTGAGGTGTTCTGTGCAGGGCCAAGAGTTGGACTTAATGATCCTGGTGGGTCCCTTCCAACTCAGTGCATTCTGTAATTGTATGGTTAAGTTTTCATTAGCAGTATCAGCTGCTTTAGCAATTGTAGGTATGTCACTGCAATTGCAGCCTACACAAACCTATCCTTAGTTACACCTTGCAACTTCTAGGAGAGGAGTGGGCCTTCATAAAAACCCTAGTGCCTTGCTCATAGAAGTCATATGTGTCCCGTGTTGTCTCTGAAGGAAACAGGGCAAACACCACTTAGCCAGAGTTCACCAAAATTGACTTTTCCTTTTTTATTCCTGCAAAAGACAAACAGCTGGGGCAAAGGAGATTCCAGTCAAGAGGAAGGATCCTGAACACAGAAGACTAAGTGACATTCTGAATTTTCATTTACTATGTGCATTTCCTTTGAGTGTTTTTTACTATCTAATGGAGGGTTATGGAATTCTAGTTCCATGTATTAGCAGATTTAAAAATAGAGGAATTGTAAAAGTGACAAACTATTACCCACTGGTGTCCTATTCATTTCATCTGGGAGAAGTGCCAAGTCCTGTTTTGTGAGGGTGAGGGGCTGAGACGTGCTGCATTAACATCTGTCCAAAGTATTTACAAACTACACAGCAAATACAACCAGCAGCTCTGGTGTTTCTCAAACATTAGGAGAGGGACAAGTTCTTATTGGAAGAGGAATATGCCAGCACTAAGTATCACCATGACTTAGCGACTGGATGCTCAGGTCCCATAGTTCAGTGCCTGTTAAGATGTGATTCCAATGTCAGGACCTGATAGATTGTTTTTAATTCCCTACGCATTTTTGGCAATGAACCTCATCAGAACAAGAAAATGTGTTGATATGGGCCAGCTCTGTGATGAAATTTGTTGTATGCTCACATAGTGCAGAGGATTGTGTGGCAAGAGGAGTGAAGCTTGCAAAACATGACTACTTAATTTGGGTTCCCATGACATAAGAAAGTGTGGTGTGGTGCTCTTGCCTCTAACCAGGCAACAGGTAGTATTATACACAAGGGTGTGTGTGAAATTATGTTCTTTACCCATACACAAATGCCTGCTAAATCAGTCTGGTAATCAGGCAGCATTGGCTGTCCTCCCATCTCCAGAATTAACCCACTTCATTCAGAACAGTGAGATGAATGAAAAGAAAAATGTTCATTCTAGTGTGATGCAGAAATGTTAAAGCATATGCTCAAATATTAAATATTATGTGTCCAAGAGCTCTTATAAATCAGCTTTGTTTAGCAGCGTGTGTTTTCTGATTCTGCACTAGGATTTTGTTTGCCAATGTATAAGCTGTAACTTTATTCACAGTGAACACAGGTCATTTGTTGGCTGCCACAATCAGCTGCAAAGAGATTCCTGCTATGTAGCTCTTTGCTCAGACCTTTTGCGTGGTCCTCTCTGTGCCCATGGTATGTTCTTTATTAGCATCCTTACTTACTACAGTACCTGCCTGTACTGCAGAAAGAAGTGTTCCACAAAAGATTCTTCTCCTTTCTTCATGAAAAAAATAATCTGTGAATAGTTACTGGAGGAGTCTGGGCTAAAACATCACTTATGATGTACAGGCTGTCAGGATGGATCTAAAGGGAGAAGTTGAAAAAAAAAAAGGTAATTAGTAATTCTCGCTGAATAGTAAAGAGAGTGAGGCAGTTTCCTACATTTGGGACTTGGAAAAAATGCTTCCTAATAAACAGTAATGCAAGGTTTCTGATGTGAAAAAATTAGAAACACAGCAGGGAAGCAAAACCACCAAAAGAGGTTTGATGTCTAGGAAATGAAGCAGCAAGGCTGATATCCAGTTAACAGAAATAAAAGTTAGTGAAGTTTTAATTTATTAATTGAATATATAAGAAAGCAGTAGGTTGGAGAGTGTGTTCTAGTACAGGGATGAGTAGGGATTGGAGAACACAGAATGGAAACAGCAAGGTATAACCAAAGAACTAATTTAAACCTCCATGTGCTGGAGGAAGGACTCCAAGTGTGGCAGTCATGAATATCTCACCTGAGCTTGCAGATCTGTGCCCTGATGGAAAGTCAGGGCAGCTTTACATGCAGGTAGGGGCTAGAAGTGAAGATAAATGATAGGGGGAGAAGGAAATGAATAAGGGTTCTGCACCAGACCTAATCTTCATTTCTCTGCTTTTCCTTCTTTTCAAATTCTGTTGCTTTTTGTCTTGTTTTTGATGTTAAACAGCCTGGGGAGAGCGAGGTGCAGAGTTTGTAGTGTATTCTAATGCAATCTGTAAAATGTGCCTACTAATTCTGAGTGTTCAGCTTCATTCCATACCTGTATCACTCTAAGCTGCCATGAAAAAAAAAACCTGCTCCTTTGCTCCTATGTTACTTTGTTTTTTGTAGGTCTAAAGGACACAGGGGTTTCCAGCTCTGCACTTTTTAGGGTATCAGCTGATGTGATTATTAAGTATCAGATTTTTACCTATTCTCATGTAAGTGCCTCTCAATAAGACAGAAAGTACCCTCTGTCCCTCAGAAAAACTTTGTGAGTGCCAGAATATACTTGCCATGTCTTGTGATGGTTGATTTTGGCTTGCAGTGTATTTCTCAAAAGCTGAGATAATGCTGCTAATGTCTGTGAAGAAAATAAAGGGTGATATATTCCTCTGCATTGTTGGCCTGTAAACTGGAAAAAAATGCTATGAAAGGAAAAATTGATTATATTTTTATGCTAACTTTTATGTCCATGATATCTTACTTAGCTGCTAGCTGCAATGACATTAACCCTCGTGTCTCTGCTACATGCAAAATCACAGCACTGTTTTGCTTTTGGATTTTAACTTGCCCTTTTCTCTACAATTTCAGAGTTATTAGGGTCTTCAGCTACAGAGGAAATCTGCACATAAACATGTTGGTAAAATTATTTTCTCAGAGAACATACAAATTCATGAACATTGAGCATGAAGTATTTACATTTGCAGGAGGGTACTGGCTTGCACTGTGTTTCACTGTGTTCCCCTGGTTACTTCAAAAAAGTTACTTCAAACCTGCTACCTTTGGAATGATCCAGCTGATTTCTGAGGGACCAAAGACTAAATCACCTCTGCTTTGCCAGGTTTGATTCAAACTTAAATGTCACTCTCCCTCATCTCCAAATCTGGATTTCTATCATCCACTTAATAGTCCACTTAAATATTAAGTTGAACAACTCCCCGAAAGAAGCTAAGACTACAGGCCTGATTTCCACATGGTGGTTCTAGATGTGCCTCAGTGCTACACACTTGTGCTGCATGGTACACATGATACAACATGCTGTGCAAACTGCTGTTTTCATCATGTAAAATTCTGATCTAAACTAGGGACATGATTTGTAATCAGTACTTTGAGGTCCTGAGTACTAATGAGTTATTATCTATTAACCTATGCAGTAATCTGTTGGTTAGAAAGTTAGAGAGTATAAGGAAAAAGATGTTTGAAATCCTAAAGCAGATGGAAAAACCCTGTCCAGCTCTTTTAGTCACATTTTGCAACCTTTTTTTAAGTTATACTACATTTTGTTGCATTATATTACTATATTTACACTTTGAGGATTTTGTTATATTCATTTGCCTACACTTGTTTGAAATGTATCCAATGCATTTTTTATGCATTTTCCCTACAATAAACTGTTGCATCTTTGTATTATATGTACGATTCTTATTTTAAAATTCATTGTCGTCCCATTTCAGCTCTGATTGTAATGCCTGTAGTAGCTGGCTATTGATGGATTAAACTGAGCATCGTGTTGGTTGGTGGCAAAAGGCCAATGCATGTGATGCCACAGCAGCACAAAGTGGTAGGATGAAAAAGTCTCAAGGAAGTTTGTGAAGAAAGGAAACCCGTCCAGGAGATCTTTAGCTCAGCTAACCTAACGAAAAAAATCTTATCACTACATTTGTAGTCCTTCATTTGTCACTGCATTTTATACTAGAAATGGAGAAATTAAAACTTTTTTCCACGGCTGACTTTGAATAGCTATGGGATATTTTGATTTTGTGATTTTTTTTTCCCCCAAGACATCATTTGCTAAGTGTGGAACCTCACCCACAGAAATCCTATGAAATCATCTCAATATTACAGAGACAGAATTTTTCCCATTTTTGTTCCATTTGAATGCAGGTTATTATCTGATCACTCACAGTGTCACTTCTCATATATCTGAATATAAAGTAAGCCACTTATATTTTCTGAAAGGTCTGTATTTCTCCCTATTGCTCACTGAATTTCTGAAATAGTTTTCTGTACTAGACTTGAAATTTGTAACATGCTAATTCCATAGCTGAAAGCTAAAGAAAGCCATTTTAAAATGCTTTACTGTTGCCCATTTAATTTCTTGTGGTTGAAGGAGAGTTCCACCAACGTTATCTTCCTCAGCCTCCTTCCTGTTCCCTGAAAATTACACTTGGAGAAAACAAGACCACAAGACCACCTCGTTTTTGACTGGATTTTGTTTCAAAATATGTCAGGCTGAAAACTGCTTGCCTTTTAAACCCAAATCAATGGTCTCTAAAGAAGGGAGTTTGGAAAGCATTGGGAAGTATATCAGAATAACATGCAAAGTGACATAATAGTTTTTCAGGGAAGAAAGGATAAGGAAATATAAAGCAATAATCACACCACGATGAATCCATCATGCAGCCACATCTTCCATGCTAAGTGAGAACTAATTCTCCTGCTTTCTCTTCCCATCTCAGAAAAGATCTAGAACAACTTGGAAGGTATGCCAAAGAGTGAACAGGCTCTCGCAGTGTGCAATAGCTTTTGCCTAAGAGACATTTCAACAGCTTGGAAGAATTGAGAGGGGAGAAGTGTGATAAAGGAATATAACATCTCAAATGGTGTGGATGAACTGAATGCTTGTTCAGTTTCTCACAATAAACAAGCAGGTGATAACAAGTGACTGGCATCCTCAAGGTGTAAAAGAAAGAAAAGAAATTGCCCTTTCCCTCTACACCCTTAGTCCTGGAAAGCAGACATGATCTTCATGGCAAAACTGTAATTATTTTATGCAGGTTGATTATAAAATGAATATATACACAGGAAAAAGTGTACAAAAACCCAGTGTTTTTAATGATTGCCTACTAGAAGTCCCATTTCAGAGATTCAACAGTCTTTTACGTATGTATGTAATAAGTACTGGACACTTTGCAAAGTGATTGTAGAGAACAGTCTTACTGCTCAGAGCAGCAGTTTGAAGAAAGAAATGTTTCATTTCAGAAAGCTAAATTACACAGCTGATCTGACTCGATACAGCACTGGCAGCGACATTGTTCACTGCAGAAGAGCCGTACTGTGTTAGTCAAAACATCTATTTAACCCTGCATCTTACTCCTCATGCAGCCAGCAGCACGTACTTAGGCAAACAGTGTAAGAACAGGGAAAGCAAACAAGTGCTCCTTCAGTGCATATGGACACATTCAGTCAGGGACTTCCTAAGCCACAGAAAACAGTTTTTGCATTTAATGCTCCCAATGGATAAATGGAGAAAATATAATTGACATGCTTGTGCATTACAGCAGCTTCTGAATAATTACAGAAATGTTGTTTTTATGCCTTTTGATCTCCAGTTAATGTCTGTGAATTTTCCCTTAGGAAAAAGACCTTTTGTATGTAAGGTGCATGTTTTTGGTTTGTCCATGTTAGTATGTCACACACTATAATTGAAGTCTTGGGACCTGCCCTTGTAGGTATTAGAGAATAGGCACATAATATTTATATTGTGCAATTAGAAGAACTATAAATTATTGAAGGTACCACTGAATTGGTAAACAATATACACCTGCCTACCTGTTGCATTTTAAGCTGTCATCCATGGATTGTTTTATCTGGATCATGCCCAACATATGACAACAGTAACTAAAACTCTTCTCACTTGGCTTAAATTTGCCATATGTGGACATGTGGCTCCATTGGAAAATTTCTAGACATCTGAAAACTGAGATTGAAAATTATATTAGGAAGGGAATGTCAGTAAGGAAGGTGGGAAAAAGCTTTCCATCATGTTCAAAAAATACTTTAAAAATACTTTTTTTTTTTTAATTGACAGGTCACTCATAGTTCTTGAAGAAGAACAGTGATCTCTCAACTTTCTGAGCAAAGAAAATGCACAGGCCAGCTTGGGCACCAGTTTTCACTTAGAAGCAACCAAAACCAAATCTGAGCTTTAATGATTCTCTTCTTATTTTCACGTTGTCTGCATTTCTTTGTGTGCACTCCTAAATACTGGTGGATAGAGGTTTATTTTGCATGTTTATGCAACTTCATAGACTGCCTTTTTTTACATCTGGCATAACACTAGGAAACAAAACATTGGTCAGGAAGGTACGGCCAAAGAGATGGCCCAGATGGCAAACTCACATTCCCAGTCTTTCCTAGCATGGTGTACAGCGGTGTACAGCCACAGCCTCACAGGGCCTGACTGCATTTGGAACGAACACCCACAACCAGTCCCAGCCCGGAGCCACCACGATGCCCCAACAGCTGTTAGTCGGCAGGATGCCTGCGAAGTGATTACAGAAACCATAAATTAAACAAACTGTTTCCAAACCCGACCTCTGAAGTGCCACAGCCCTCCAGAGGGAGGAACCGCTTCCCCCGCAGAACCACCTGGGAAGGGGCTGCAGCCCCTCCCCGCCGCCCCCGGGGACTGGCGCTGCCGTTACCGGTCCCACTGGGAACTGAGGAAGCCGTGATGCTTTTTTTAGGCTGCGCAGCTTTCCCCTTTCGCCTTGCACCTACAATAAAAAAACCCCAAACAACCCTTCCCTTCCGGACGCTCCGGAAAGCCAGCAGGCGAGGCACCGGCCCTCCCAGCAGCCCCAGCCGGGCCCGGCCGGTCCCCGCCCCGCGCTGCCGGGAAATGTAGTGCGGGCGGGGTTGGCCCGGCCTGCGGGGCCCGGGAGTGGCCGTGGCGGAGCTGAAGTGCGGGTCCCCGCCGTGTCCCCGCTCGCAGAGCCCTGGGCTGGGGGGCGGCGGCGGGGGAAACCCGCGGGGGCCGAGGGAGCCCATCGGGCCTGTGGTGCCACAAAATGGCACCTGCCGGATGGAACGGGCGGGCGCCGCGCACGGCTCGGCCCCGTCCCTCAGGGCCATGGGCCCCGTTACCGCAATGGTGGCACTTAAGCAACGAGGGCTGATAGAGCAATAGGCACCTGGTACAACAACGTGGGTGCCCAAATGTTATCTCTGAGCCTCGAGCTTAGGTGTGCCCTGTGAGGACATTTCCATGGGTGGGAAACACACCTGGGCGCTTACATGCAGGCGAGTTTGTACCCTGTGCTCATGTTTTATTGTGCCAGGATTCAATGTTACAGGCCAGACCTGCTGCTCCATGTAACCAGGTCTGGAATCTCTTTTTTGCATCTCCGCAATGCTAAAAGCTCAAGTAATCCACAATTACTGGCTTGCCTTGTCTTCCCCACAGCCTTTCTTTTGGTGGTTGTGTGCTCTCCTCAACTCTTTTGGGATCAGAAACAGATCTGCTGTCCTTTACCAGAATCCTATATAGTTCCCCTGAGGAGGACCTTAGCCAACCCATACATGTGGTAATCCTATCAGTCTCCCAAGTATCACCTCTTTGACATTTGGATGTGTGGCATACACACACCTTTTTATGGCCAGATTCTTAGCTCTTCTCACCACTCCCTTCAACACTCCTAAAACTATACAGTACTTCCTACCCAGCCAGCTCACCACTGTTTTATTCTTTCTACCCTTAACTATTTTCTTCAATTTTGTTTTTATTTAATCTCTTTACATCTTAAAAAAATCAATCCTTTACTTACAAGTTGCAACATTAAAATAGTACCCATGTTTCAGTCATTCCCCATTGACTTCAGAAATCTAAGAAAATACTTACACAGAGGAGGTTGCCCAGACACTTGACTATCAAGACACAGAAGTGTGCAGAAGATCATGAAAGGCTGCTAGCAGATCAGCTCCCTATACAGCAAAGCCAGAGATCTTCTTAAGCATAAGGGATGTAAGAATGGAGAATGCATTGTTAATGACCCATGGGGTCTGTTTCTTTCTTTGTTCTGTGTTAGCTCTGGAAAGCAGGGTCAGGAGAAGCTCCGATGCACACACCAGCTGCTCCCTCAGAGCAGCCTCATCTCTGAGGTGAAACAACAGCAGTCAAAGCCAGGATAGTGAAGCACATGGGAATGTGCTTTGCCAGCCAGGCTTACACAGGTTAGAACTGCAGTATAAGAGAACTTCTGCTGCATGGGCTGGAACTGGAGCTAGTGGGGAGCAGCAGTGTTGTACCAGCACCTGTGCTCCTTGACTTCTATTCCTTGGCACTGGGAAGGTGCTGACCTGCATAATGCCAACCATGAACTAAACTACCCTTTGTAACTTACTAAAAGATTACTGTAAAGTGCAAAGTTTCTCTCATAAGAAATTGTAGGAGTACCTTGGCCACAGGCAAACTCTTTCCAAACCCATAAAAATAATGTCTGACTTAAATACTTTCTAGATCTTGCTAAATGTTCAAATATTTAGGTGTATCTCCACAATTTGCTGATGTTTGTTGTCCACTTCTTCCTCAATTCAGTTTTTTCTGTATCTAACTACCATAGAACAGTTTTCTGCATGTAATGAATTGTGAATGAAGTTTGGTTGGGAGGCAAAATGCTCAAGAACAATTCACTCAGTGGCTTGCTCATTTTCTGTGGTTATTTGGTTGTTTGGTTTTGTTTCTTTTACAGAAAGAGATCTGTGTTTCTTTGTCTGCCAGATATTTATTCTGCCATCACGGTGATAAGGTGTGATAGAAAATGAAATCTGCTGGGGTTTATTTCATATACTTTCCTGTAAACCTTCTTCATGTTTGGCAAACTTGCTTCACATGTGGAAAATTGAACTGTAACCACTTTGAAACTAGATCATCTTTCTAATTTTTCCTCTGAATTATTTAACATGATCCATACAAAATTTTGTAATACTCAATATTATTTCCTGATGGCCCGATAATTAAAAAAAATAAAATTACTTCCTGAATGTCATAATTCAGACAAAGTAGATGTTTGAAGAGGTGATGGCCATGAGATGTTTTTGGAAATTACTGGACTATTGTATGTACAAAGTTTGGTGCAGTACAGACGTTTCAGGTTTAGCAGGTTAATATGATTCTCTAAACAATCTAATTTTAAAGTAGATATATTTATGCTCATGTAGAGAAATTTTCTCTGTGTGTAATTTTAATATTACTGCTAAAGTGAAAAATATCTGCAGTGGAGGGCATGCGACTCCTTGAACAGTTGACTGTCCTAAACAGCTGAGTTCAAACCAGCGGTGCCTGGCTTTCAGATCTAATGCCCACACTAGTCAGTCCTTCCAGTGGAGCCATTATTTTCTCAATCTTCTAATCTTCTTTTCGCTGGTGGCTCTTTGTAGAATGTCCTTGAAGCAAATTTTCACCTTCATTTTGTGTCTCCTGTTCCTTCTTTAACACTGTATCCTGTGAACTTTTTAATTTCTTCTTGTGTGTCCTGCCAGCTCCTGTGAAGATGTAATGATGCATTCCTTCATTTGTTTAGGACCTGTAGCAGCCACAGTAAAAGGTACACACCAAGATATTTGATATGTAATAAAATGACACCTTAATTTGATTTATTACCAAGAAAAATAGGACAACTGTAATAAGGAAGTCCTGAGCTTGCATATTTGAGCAATTACACACATGTGGAATGGAGCAGGAATGATTGTCATCCTGCTGTGTGAGGTTAGGTAAGACCTCACTCCATTCCAGTTGTTCATGACCATCTCTCAAGGCCTGAAAGATCTGGAGTTGAATGGACACAGAGATGAGAAGGCTCAAAATTAGAATATGAACTGGAGCTCACTATAGGAAGAAGTCAAAAGGCCACCTTAGATTTTAAACAGTCAGTGTGTTGCCTCATACAGATAAGATAATTTTGTGTCATCAGTAGATAGATTTATTTACCTCATGAACTTTTCAAGTTTGTCTACATCTGTTCAGGTTTTGCTTTGTGTGTTTTGCAACATTTAAAAACAGTTGCAGGTCAAAACCAAAACAAACACAGTCTTTACAGGATGTTATTTTCCACTATTCCACATCAGTTTCCTATATTTTTAAAATAATAAATAATCATAATAATATTTCTTTTTGTGGAAAGAAAATATAAATTGTTTGTACTCTACAGAATAGTTTGCATAGGTAAAATGCAAGCTTGTTAGGCTTATGACTAAGTTTACTCACTGTAACACCATTCATAAGCTCTTAAACCAGAAAAACAGGGCCAATGCTGCATGAAAGACTCATGAGATATAAGCTGTCTTAATTTTTCTGAACCTGATTGCCACATGACAGAAGAGAGGATTGCATACAGAGGGGTGAAGAAGAAGTGGTTGACCTTGTGATTTAAAAAGCTTGGCCATTAGCTCAATAGTCCTTCAGATTTCACTGCAGAAAAATGTGTTACCACATTGCCAAAATTGTTTTGTAATGTCTCATGCTCTTTTAGGATGTGCAGTTCTATAACATTCTGATCCCTGAAAACCAGAATGTGGAATCAAGATACATGCTAATGTAACCTTAGCTCTTCCTCATTGAACACATGATAATCACTTGGAGTTGCCTGATGCTGTCTGTCCCTATCTTTAGAAGGTGCTGAATTGAGGAATTAGGGGAATCTGCTGGAACAGTTTGAGAAAGCTGTTAATTGGACATGAGATGATTCATCCTTCAGTAGAGGATGGAGGATGGCCTCTCTTCAGGACCCTGTCCAATAGATGATCACAAAGTTGATTCGAAGGAGGGAACACCTCTCCTATGAAAAAAGGCTGAGACGTTTGGGGTTGTTCAACCTGGAGAAGAGAAGGTTCCAGGGAGACCTTACTGCAGACTTTGAATACTTAAGTAGCACTTGTAAAATAGATGGGGACAAACATCTTAGCAGTGCCTGTTACAATAGAAAGAGGTGGAAAAATTTTTAAGTGAAGGAGGGTACATTAAGAGTAGATATAAGGAGGACATTTTTTACAATGAGGATGGTGAAAGACCCAGACAAGTGGTGGATCCCCTGTCCCCAGAAACATTCAGGTAGGATGGGTCTCTGACAACCTGATCTTGTTGAACATGTCCCTGCTCATTGCAAGGGAGTTGGACTAGGTGACTTTTAAAAGGCCCTTCCAACCCAAACTATTTTATCACTGTATGATCCACCCCATTTATATGATCAAAAGAAGACGAGAGATTCCCAAGATTTACTAAGCGATCCAGAGCTAAGTATGGCCAGAGCCATGTTTTATAGCATGTATCAGTGGTGAATTCATGTGTTCTTGTCAGGGCTTCTGATATACAGGGATCCATATGTGTTGTAGGGGTCCATGGCAGGCCTGTGGAAGGATAACATTGTGTAAGGGTTGGTGTGGCTGAGAACAAATAACAGTTTAGAAAATTTAGCAGGGTTAACTCTGGCCCCACGACTAAAAGTCTGAGTGCATAGCTGTGTGGGATGCTTGGTTTAATATGTCTCATGTAGACATGTGCTTAGATTTAGCAATGGGATGGAATCAGTATCAGAGCCTCAATTCTAGAGTGGTATCTTCACAGGCAAAATATATTAATGTTAATTAATATATTCATGTTAATTAAACTACAGATGTTCAAAGAGAGCAGAATTTAGGTGATTTTGGCATACATCTTAACTCATTATTGCTTATTTTCAAAAGTCTGAGTGACAATGAACATGGTGCATGGTTGGTGTATGACCTTATTCTTAGCCTTCCTCTTCCTGTACACCACTCTAT